TCACCCCATCTTCAATAGAGCAGGGGACACACACCAGGGCTGCGGTCTCAGCAAGCTGATCTAATTAACAAGGCAGTGTACTTAAGGGAAATGTGCATATCTCCCTCCATTCCTGCTGCCTTGCAGAGTGAGAGTTAACCCTTGAGGGCTCAGCCAATTGCTAGTTCATCATTTAGCAGTAAGGGAAATATCCCACCCTCTGACTCCTCCACCTCAACCAAGCTTCACAATCATCATCACTTATACTGTGTGTGTGTGTGTCTCTATATATATATAGACAGAGTGTAAGTGATGATATATATATATAGTCTTTTGTCTGGTGAAAAAAATTTCCCTGGAACCTAATCCCCTCATTTACATTAATTCTTATGGGGAAATTGGGTTCGCTTAACATAGTTTCACTTAAAGTCGCATTTTTCAGGAACATAACTACAACGTTAAGTGAGGAATTACTGTACTTCATGGGTCCCAATGACTTGAATGCAACAAGGTGTGGTAATAAACTTTGTGCTCTCCTGATTCACCACAGCTCAAACTTATCCAAGTGAGTTGGATATCATGTAGGAATCACTGCCGGCAGTTTTACAGAAGTCTGGTGAAACAATTGTGCTGGATGTGCAAACTGACATAATTAACTGCATCAAAATCTTTCCAGTGTAAAAAGATGAGGATTTTTCACATTTTTAAAAGAACCCAGCACTGAGATGAAAATGTTTCAATAAACTAGTGTCCAGAACAATGTCATTCTCTGGTTTTTAACACCACACAACTTGGATGTGTTAATTTTTCAACCCCCTAGTTAAAAGACACATGCCATTTACACAACAATGCAAATCCAGCCAGTAAAATTGTGTAAACTAGTATTAACGTCAGGTTTATGCTACCACTTATATATAACAAATTAAAATGAAGGAGTAAATTATTTACATCCCTTGTGCAAACTGATTTGTACTCTGTTTACATACATCTGCTTGTCAGAGAGTTTACTCATTAAGAAAGCAGGCACACAAAAGTCCATATAAATCACTCTTTTCCACACCTTTCATCTAGGTGAATAAAAGGTTTTAGAGTGTCACATACTTAATCTTTGTAAAAAGATTTGATTTCTTGAATTACCTTCAGTTCTATGGTCACATCTTCCTGTATAATATTCTGTGGGCAAATGTGGGATGGAAAAGGCCCTGAGTAGTTAAGGCAGAGTACAGTCATTAATAATACAAGAGGAACAGAAAGTTTATTAAAGGAATTTGTGATAAAAATGACAATGGGCTTTTGATATCTTAAGGAACATGACATCAATATTTCCTTTTATCTGGTATATTTTTGGTCCTTCCCCATAGCCACAATTGCCCTCCTACCTGCAATGGATCAGAAGACGCATGAATGACACAACCTAGTTGTTCCTGGGTTTCCTGGTTGCTTTATTAATGACCAATGAATTACCAGGTTACATAATCCCAGTCTGTTTCAATAGCAAAGTACTTTGATTTCCACTTTAAAAACCTCTCTAAAATTCTTCACCCAATTTAACAGTGGGCCCAGATGCTCAGCTGGGATAAATTGGCTGTGATAAATTGAATTCAGTGGAACAATGCTGAATTACACCAGCCAAGGATCTGGCTCAATGTATATTACAGTTACGCCTTTGGTTAATAAGGTGAAATGTAATTCTTCTTTTCATATTTCGGATAGAAATATAACTCAGTAGTATATATATGAATCTAATGCTCCTCTCATGCCAATGTAATCTGAGAGGATGTGTTGAAATCAATAGTTCCATCAGTGTAAAACTGATGTGAGAGAACTGCTGATTTATTGTAAGGAAGTGAAAAGTGTTAACACTCATTTCTGGGGTAATTTTTCAAAGCTACTGTTGTCAGATGCTACCGGTGCGGTGCTCTGCTCTGTTCAATGTTGATATCAATCGACTGCGTGCGTGTTTCCTCTGTGTGCTGCCCCAGCTCTGCGCAGATAGCTGACACGGCAGACCCCGAGAGAACCCCCAATGACCACAGACTCTAGTAAGGTACGAAGGCACGTCGGCCAGATTTACTGTCGAAGAGAAACACAATCTCCAGCTTTCAGTGGCAAACAAAGTCCAACGTGCTGCTAAGGTGCGGCTAGCCAGTACTTATGTGCTCCCTGACAATGGACTCAGCTCAGTCAGTGGCGGGACTTTCCACTGCCCCCTTGGCTGGACAAAGATATCCACTCAGGGATGCATTCTTATACACAGGTACAAACAAGTTACACATCACTCCTGACGTATTGAGGTGCAACCCCTCTACGCAGCAAGGTACAACCCCTCTACGTAGTAAGGTGCCGCCTCTCACCTTGTACATGTTGGTTTGAACAAAACAACTCTATCCATCATATTACCCTTTTGGCCCTGTCATTGGGATGGGTCAGCTTGTTCCTTGTGTGTGGAATGTACAAGTATGCAAATGTTCTGATATCTGGTGTCCAGTACCTTTTAGGTATGTCTCTTTTTGCAGCATCAGCCCTTTCCTTGCCAGCTTCTGTGAGCAGGGCCTGCCTCTGGCTCACAGCTTAATTTTGCTTTATGTTAGCAAAGTCTTGACCATTACTTTAGTTCAGGCCTTAGGCCTCATACCAGGCCTCTGACACAAGGGTTTATGTCTCAGGGCCTCCTCTTACTACAGCTACGCATGGTGATATGCTCACATGTTGCCCATTGATATTTACCATTATTGAGCCAAATTCAGCCCTAGCATAAGTAGGCATAGTGCCCATTGACTTCAGTAGAAATTGCAGCTCTATACATCAGGATGAATTTGGTCCATCAGTTGTCTAGATGCTCTCCTGAGTGTTCTGAAACATCCTATCTATTTATTGTATTTTCAGACACACTCCCCTAAATGAAAAAACACTATAATAAGTCACAAGCACAATAGTATCACTAGTGTAAGCTGCAGTGTTTGGGGCCACTGCTGTAGCATAAGTTAGTGGGGTTTTTTTTTATATAAGCATGAGTTCATGTCTGAGTTTATGAATGACTTCAATACCATTTAATTCCACCATTTCTGTTTGTCAGCAGGTATGAAAAACCTTCACATTTATCTCTTAATTCAAAAAATGATTTTTTTTTAAATGTGGTTACCATCTGGCTTCTTGCGAAGTATCATGCTTTGTTCAGCAATTGTTAAAGTGCTAGCAGTTGTCATGTTTCCTATGCTGGAAGAGTCCCTAATTGTGGAAAGTGACATTTGAATGACAGACAGTCAAAGGCCCACCTCTGAAGCTTACTAGCCAAGCTATGAATAGTTCAGATACACCTTTATAAAAATCAAAATATTAAAGCTATACCTGTAAATAATTTTAAGCTGATTTAGGAAAAACTCCAATTACTGATAATAATAAACCACAGTATTGGTTTCCTTAGCAAATTGATAGAGGTGAGAAGTGCTAGATTGATATAGCCCTGGAGGCTGTAAAGTCTGATATTTATCCAAAGAGCAGGTACAAATTGGATAACAGAAATGTAAATTCCTCGATATTCTTCACAGACACCTTGGTAAAAGCACTTCAACCATAATCTAGAAGGGTGAGATAGGGAGTTTAGACTCCATAGCCCTTTTAGTACCTGGGCTCTCCGCTGAATCTGCCAAGATTGCCAATTGCAGTGGTAGACTCTGTGGTGTGGACGTCTATCCATTGGGAGCTTTACTGAGATCACCAGCTCATTTCACATAGGCCAGTGAAAAGCTGTTGAAAGGCAATGCCTTTGACTCACTACTAACCTGTGTTAGAGTCAAATAGGCGATTTAGTGGTTGTAGGTATGAAAGGCCTCATAAAATGAAATATGCTATGAACTTTTGAACAAAAATTGATATTTTTTGTGTGTGGAGAATAGAAAAACCTGGCAGAGTAGAAAAATTGAGAAATCCTCTTAAACAATTTCCTTTTACAAAGTCCTGTACTGAGACCTAGAAGTTTTATTTGCATGTGTTTAATCTTGAGAGCACATATTAAACTGTGTGCGCCTATAGATAGGAGTCAGTTTCATCGGTTCCTTAATTCTTATAAATTACCTCACTGGAGACACTTTTGCTTGATCAGAGATTGCAAGGTAAATTTTCATTTGTATTTTGTTGCAGCTACGAATAATCTTTATGACCAAAGGAACTGTATTTGTTTTATTCTCGGTGTATTTTGCATACACCTAGCTTGTGTTCTCATTTGATCATTTTAAACGTTATTGGGAAGCACTATTCTCTGTGGTGAAGGAATAAACACTACACTAAGCAGTTCAGAATAATCAATTGTCTTGATTTAAGATTACTTTTTGAGTGACAAACGTAATATACTGGATGTGCCTACCATTCAAATAGCAGGCAAAGTCCCTGGGTCACAAATTCAAAATTGTAAAAGTTACGAATCAGTCTTGAATAAATTAATAAATCAAAAGTATTAAATGAATTTAGTTTGTTCATTTTCTCCATAAAATAAACTGCCACCCCAAAGTATATATAGTAGTAATTAGGTCTTCTTTCTCCTAAGTTTAAAGGCTCTATATCCCATTACCCAGTCTGTGGAGTTGCTCCTGATTGTGATTGTAATTTAATACAAATAAATTTAATATCCAATTTTCTGGATTCAGGACCCAGGGAGCTCCATTAACTGTCAGTTCAGTGGCTTAGCTCCCTGTCACAATTGGCTGGACACTGGATATGTCTGTCTTTGCAGAGTTTCTTTGGGAAGATGCTCTTGCTTTCTGAGAGCAGCTGCCCCTTTTATAATGACAATTCTCAGCCCAGGCATGCCTGAAAGGAGGAGAGATGGACTGCAGTGCGTGGCTCTGGGCTGCATTCTTTCGCCGGCACACACACAACAGGGACTTGAGCTCAGAGCGGAAGCTCTCATTGAGCCAGCAGTAAATGAAGGGGTTGTAGCAGGTGCTGCTCATGGCAAACCAGTGGAAAGCAAAGTACAGAGCATTGTTGCTGTCGATGGCCCTGCTGGAGATAAGCACCAGGTAGCAGTTCAGTGGGAACCAGCAGACAGCAAAAACCACCACCACCACCATTAACATCTTCAGTGTCATCTTCTTCTTCCTCTGATGGGCAAAGTATTGCTCCATGGTGACGTCTCCAATGGCATTCCTCAGCCAGAGCTTCTTGGCCACCATTGTGTAGGTGATGGAGATCACAAGCAAGGGCAGGACATACAAGAGTACAAAAGTAGTCAAGTCCAGGTACTTCCAGAAGAGATCAGCAGGAGGAGGGAAGCTGGGGAGACAGACCATTCGTATAGTTCTGTTCCTGGAGCACAAAAGGAGAAAACCTGTCAATTCCACAATCATAAGCATGTAGTACAAAGGGGATAGGCCCCTTATAAAATACTTATAAGATAGCTGGGCACATATGGTAAACAGATAGAGGAATTCATTCAGACACATGGATTAGTGCCTCTTTAAGTCAACAACTTCAACTCAAATTTGACCCAAAATGTAGATTTTTATTTACTTTAAAAAAAAAACTTTATTAAAGCTTCACGGAAAAACAAAACCCCTATTCCAATGTACATCTGTCAATACTAATGGAAATAATTAAAATGAACCTCCCTCTGCAGTGTCTGCTGCACTGAGAAAATGAAGATGGAACTGACTAATAAAGATAAAAATGACTCCTTTGATTTTCATTGAACTTTGGAGAGAAACTCAAAGTGGAAACATGCTGCTTGAACTAAAAGTTTTTCCAGTTGTCAATTTTCAACTAATTTTTACTAACAGGAAAAAAATAAACATGTGTGTTTATAATTAATGGCTGTTAAATTGAGGGAGTTCCTTAAAAAAACACCCTGTTTATACATCTTACCCAATATAAAATCTTGCTAGATTCTGGTAGATGGCATGAGGCAGAGAGAAGCAGCTGGCCATAACCCAGATTATAATGATGCAAATTCCTCCTTTAGCAATTGACATCCGGGGTTTCAAAGGGTGCATTATAACCTAAGGACAAATAGTTCAGAGCATGTTAAATCTTCTCCTAGCAGGCTTTAAAAAGACTCCATTTGAACCCTTCTGAACTGATAACAACAGGACTAACTGTTCAAAAACATAGATTAATTCTAAAAAGCGATGTACCGCATCAGCAACCAGACACGTCCTTCCCACCCCCATTGCTGAATTTAGAAGCAGCTAGCAAACACGTTCACAAAGACAACAGACAAAGTCAGCACCAATTACTATGGGAACAGATCAGGCTTTAGCTGTAAGTGATGGTAATGTAACTTGGTCATGTAACAATGATGCCCACATTGGCATTCAGTTGATGTGAAAGAGATTTTTGCAGATTTGATGACCGTGGGGACCAATTTTAGGGTCTGGCCCACTGAACCCTACCTCATTTACATCAGAGCTGTGTTTTGCCCCAGACTGCGTTGGCGATGGTTTGGCACAAATCGGCGGGGGGAAGGGAGGAGAGGGTGAGGAACAGCTGCTTTATTTTCCACCCTCCTGCTCGTTGCTTTTGCTGCTGAAGGAAGCTCACAAGAATTATGGTCTAAAAGTCACCCTGACTGCTACTCTTTCAAATGCTATTATAGCTTTGCATTGTGTAGAGACCTGGAAAGAAAACGGACGCAAGCCTTCCACCGCTGAGGCGGCCTAATCTTGTGGACTGAGTGCAGGGTTGTAAATAATCCCAGCTCTGACACTGATTCCATCTGGTCCCTAGAGCAAGTCGCTTCGCTTCTCTGGGCCTCATTTTTCCCCATCTGTAAAGAAGGGATGGTGATACCTGCTTCACAGGGCTTTGGAGAAGGATATTTAGGGTGTACAGTGCCTGGAAATGTAAAGTTCTATAAAAATACAAATTACTGGAACAATAGCTTGCAACGTGGAGAAACACACTCAGTGCCACCCACAAACACAGCTTCAGAGACCAGCAGTGATGACCTTTGAGCAACACAATGCATAGATTATTATACTGACCACTGACAATGAAAAACGCCTATTTAAATCATCCCAACCGTCTCTTTGCTAATGAAGGTTTCTTCCCTCCACTATTTTCTTGAGTGCTTTTTCCAATTATCGAAGTCCCAAGTGATAATAGGGCTCCTATCACTTCTTTTGAGCATCTGCTCCATACTCTGATACATCCCAGGATTAGAAAATAAATTCATTTCAGGAAATGACTTTTCCTTGCTCAGTTGCATCCCCTTACTCCTTTTGTTGAACAATTTCACTCCTGAGCTATTTAAATCCTGCCAATATTAGAGGAAGTTCTCATGTTCTCCCTTAGTTAAAATAATATTTATGAATTGCTAGCAAAGCTCGGCAGTCAGACTAAGGCTCTGGTTCTTATTTCCCCAACCATTTGCAATCTTTGATCGTGCAATATGTAAAATATGGTATTTCAAAACATCTTTCTTGTGAAACGCAATGCTTTTCTCTTGAGTGTTATAGTGCTGGAACTTCTGGTGACCGAATGGGGAAATTTATTAAACATTAGCAGTTTAAAAAAAAAAAACCATTTTCCAGCAAGTGCTTTCATTTTCTCACAGCAGCTGGCATACACGACTGACAATCTGAGCACTTAGCGGGATCCGTCATTCTTTTGGAGCTTCGTCTAACTGTAACATTTGTCGAGTGAAATTTCTTTTCAATAATAGCTGTTAATATTAATTCCAACTGAGCTAGAAACAATGGCAACCCACACCTGAGTGCACTCTTATGCAATTTCATATCCTAGTGCACAATATTTAGGGTCAGAAACAATAGTCTGGATTCAGTCAAATGCTAAATTATATTATCATCCAGGGAAAGGAGTAGGTTTGAACTGATGTTGTCTGATGCAACAAAACTGTAGAGGTTTTTTTCCTTTCAGTATTTGCAGGGAACAACTTTGTAGGGGAAAAAATGGGTCCAACTTCAGCTGAATGTACAGGAAAATTCTACACATCCGATGAAGTTGGCTGTAGCCCATGAAAGCTTATGCTCAAATAAATTTGTTAGTTTCTGAGGTGCCACAAGTATTCCTGTTCTTTTTTCTTTGTACAGGAAAATGGTACAGTCCTGCATGTTACCAACTCCACGCACCCAAAAATCATGAGTTGGGCCACAAAACGTCATGAGTGGCTTAAAGACCATGCAAATTTTTTTTTAATTTTATTATTATTTTTATTTGCTTTCTGGGTTTTCATCCTTCAGGTCACCCTCGGGTCATGTTTTCAAGCTTTTCTCCACAACCTTAATGCCTAGAACTTTTTTTTTTTAGCTAAAAGCTGAGATGCTCATGAAATCACAGGATGCCAGGTGCTGGGCTTTAACAGGTTGAATACTGATTGTTTTCTCTAAAGTATCCCTACATTTGCTAGAGTTTAAATTCAGGGTTATGTGATGCATACCTGGTGTCGATCCAGTGCAATGGCTGCAAGGGTAAGCACAGAAACATGGACAGAACAGTACTGGACAAACCGGCTTATGTGACACATCAGCTTTCCGAAGACCCAGGTACTGCTTACGAATCGCACCTGAAGAACAAACAATATTTGAACACACAGGCCATGTCAAATGTAGATGTAAACAACAGGCATCATCAGTAAAATCAGATGGTGGATGCAAAATGAGGATAATAAACCTTGCCTTCCAGGGTTATTGTGAGAATTAAATAGTTAATATATTTATAAGTGTTTTGTTGATGTACCAGACCCATTTCTGCAGAAAGGTAAGCTTAGGGCACAAGGGGATCAGAAGGAGAGTGTAGAAATAGCAAACAAACAAATCTGTCGCAGCCCTGTGTGAGCAGGAGCCGTGCTGTTGATACATGTATGAAGTCACTGGAGTTATACTATTGTAATCAAGAAGAGAACTGGGCCCTCTGAGTTGAGAAAGCAGATAACACTATAACGTTGATTGCCTTCCTCATTGATTTTAACATTGCACTGCTTATTGTGGGTTATTTTATGCAGCATGTGGATGCTTTGTCTAATCACACTGACGTCAGTGGGATGTGGATATTTTGAAAATGATCTCCTCATGGCATCACAAACTGTCATGGAAAGTAGTGCATGAAGCCTCCTATTATTCCCAATGAGGTTTTGTTTGTTGGTGTTTGAGCAACAACTCTGCCATTCACACTATAACAATCCTATGCTGCTTCAAGCCTGGTACAAAGTCAATGCAAGGATTTTTTTTTGTGGGGGAGGGTAATTGTAATTATTACTTGTTTCCAGCAATGCCCCAAATGTGCTAGGTGCTGTACAAACATGAAAGAAGGCACCATTCTTCTCCTACAGAGTTTACACTTTCATCCTAGTTGTCCTACATTTTTTTAAAGTTCAGACTGAACATTGGGGAAGTTTTTTTGATAGTGAGATTACTAGACTGTGAAAGTCTCTCAGGGGAAATGGGGGAAGCTTTATTATCTGCTATATTTAAAGAAGACTAGACAAAGCCTTCCAGAATATACAGAAGGGAAAATTATTCATTAGCATGCAGTGGACTAGATGGGACTTTAACTTTTCCCTCTCATTCTATTCCTTTCTTTCCACATCTCATTATGAAGACAAAGGCAATCTAATCCCAGAGCTAATAAATCCAATCAGGCCAAACCCAGGAGTTCAGGGGTCATATTCCCCCAGCATGGGAAGCCTACACAGTCTGTGTAACCTGGCCCGGACTCAGCACAAACCCAGCCTTTCCCTTTGAAATCAATCTGTTTCTTAGGGACCTTAACAAGGACAGACACTGCTTATTCAGTTTCCATAGAAAACTGAGTGTACTTCACAGGGCAAAGCCTTCCCCTCTTCTTCATCCTCAGATGAACAATAGGAGTAAAACTCCCGAGTCTCCCCCTGAATCCTGCAAGAAAGTCAGGTTCACACTCCACAGCTTTATCCACTCCGCTGGGGATGCATGGACTGCCAAGCCCTGCTCGCTCCAGCAGGAAAGAGAGAGAGACTGACTGTGTAGCAGGACGAGGTGGACAGATTCCTGTGTGGCCCAGGGAGAGGGACGAGATGGAGGAGCTAAGCGTGGTCCCTACGTACTTTAGCACTGAGCAGGCAACGCAGGGATACTTATTTTATTTACTAGACAATACAGAAAGTGAGGGAGATCCGAAAGAAAAAGAAGCAGGCTCTGTTCAGGCACTGATTGCATACCCCCCATCCCCGCCACACACACACACAATCACAAACACAATCCACACACCTCTCCCAGAGCCCGGACACACAATCTCTCTCTCTCTCACACGCACGCATTTTGCAAACCTGACAGTAAAGGATATGGGGCAGGACTAGGACTCGCTTCCCAAGTTAACTCTCCGAAGTTACCGTCCGACCACCTCGCTATAAACCTCTCGGTGGCTCTCTCCCGTCGCAGCGCTGCTGCCTGCTCGGGCCGGCCCATAGCACGCAGAGCGGGCAGCGTGTTCCCGGGAAGGTGCCGGCGGGGCGGCAGCGGCCAAGGCAGAGAGTTGCTCCCCCAGGCAGTGAGACCGGGAAGCTGGGGCGGGCGCCGCGCTGCTTACCAGGGTGAACGGCGTGTTCAGGAGGGTGATCATGATGTCCGCGATGGCCAGGTTGACGATGAAGAGGCTGGTAGCCGAATGCATCCTCTTGTTCTTGATCACCACGTGGCAGACCAGGATATTGCCGAAGAGCGAGATGCCGATGATCACCGAATAGGCCACGATGAGCAGCGCCTTCACCGTCCGACTCTGGGACTCCCCTTCGTACCGGGTGCCCCTGTCAAAGTCCCCCATGTCGTCCAGGTCCAAGTCGCCGTGGAAGAAGGAGGATCGGTTGGGGAAGCCGTAGAGGGCAGAGAAGAAGTCGGAGCCATTGCGGTCCTGGGCCCGGCGGTAGGGTTTGGAGATGTACTGCAAGGGGAACCACACGTGGCTGCTCATGGCTTCGAAGCAGTGGCGAAGTTCCCGGGGAGTGGAGCGATTCCCCTCCGGCTCCCTCCTCCGCTAGGCAGGGCAGCTCGGAATTGGGAGCCGGGGCGAGAACCCGGCTTGCATGCTGGGGCTGGTTTAACCGCGGCAAGCAAGGCCAAGTCTCAAGTCACTTCGGCTCCTGGCTTTGGGGCTCCGGGTTTCTCCCTCCAGCTTGGCTGATTCGCTCCTTTGGGGGCTTTTCTGCTTCTTTCCCACAAACTACCCCGGCAACTTGCTCCCTTGCTTTTTCACATAGTCCTTTAGCCTGTCACATTTCAGTCTCCCAAACTGCTTCTTGCATGCAACGTCTGCCCTGGAGAAGGAACCCCCCGCCCCCGACCTCGTCCGATCCCAGGGGCCAGTACAGCCCTTCCCGCTTCTGTCAGTCCTTGCAAGCATCCCTCCGCTCCGCACTGGAGGCGGCGGGCATTGACTGGCTGAGTGGTCCCCGCTTTCCCGGTTATATGCAGCCGGCTGGATGACATGCTGCATGTGCGGTAGCCAATGGGGTCTCTCGCTCTCTCCCTCTCCCGACTTGCCCCGGAGACGGCCGTGGGGGAGCGCGACAACTGTAGCGTTGCAAAGTGGCTGGAGCGGGTGTTTTTAATCCCCTCCCTCTCTCCCCCCGCCCCGCCCCTCGCTACACACCGCGGCGGGAGGGGAAGCTGCTCGCCTGGCTAAGCCCCGTGCTTTCGCAGACCCAAAGAAGCGCTCTGTCTCCGGGCAGCCTCCAGGTTAATCCCTGGTCCCCCTCGGGACTCCCCCGGTGCCTGCCGAGCACGGAGTAAGAACCTGAACGGGGCCAACCGAAGATAGAGGAAAACTCCTGATTTGTCTTTATTCTCTCCCGGGAAAAAAACAAAAACCAGCCCCCCCCCCGCCAGCCCATCCAACCCTGGACAGAGGGTGCCCTTCCCCCAAGCATCGGGCCGGTTTGGGGCTAAGTGCACATGTCAAGAGGGCCCTAGCCATAGAGACTATTCTGGCTGTGGAGTTGGTCATGTAGGCATGTCAGTTTAGGTTTGTAACCTCCTAATTCCTCCTCTTCTCTTCCCCAGCCTACCCCCCAAGCACACAGGTTAGGCAGGCAGGTGCAGTTTCATTTTCCCAGGGACTAACTCTGTGCTGCTGTCTGTCTGTGGATACTGCTTCTCAACAGCCCCTGCCCCAAATGGCAAGGGGGGTATAGTTGTTTTTGTTATTATATTATCATTGATATTATGGTAGAGCCTAGAGCTCCCAGCCAAGGGTCAGGCCCCTCTGCTAGAGACCCTACACATGGTAATTAAGGAAAAAAGCCCCCACCCCCAAAGACTTTACAGTCCAAGCCTATGATGAGAGATACAGCAAACAGGCAGGGGAGAGGACGAGGTAGCAGTAAATCTGTCATGTTGAGTAAAACGGGGAAGAGTCACAGCACACCCACTGCCTAGCTGTCCTCAAGTGCTTTGTAGGCACCCCAGCAAAGAGGAGTTTTTAGAAGGGATCTGAAGGAGGGTAGAGCACAGATTTCATGAGATGCTTCTCTGAAGCATTAAAGAGCAGCATGAAAGTGATTGTGAGAAAAAAGGCCTAATAGGTGATGAAGGCTGGCTGGCATGGTTGGCAGAGCGGAGGTGGAAGCTGACACATATTAGAGTTTATAGGTAAGATGAAGCTGAACTGTGAAGATTATTAAAGTAGCTTGTTTCTGATGTGGTGGAGAAAGGGATCCAGGGTGAGGCATGCTATTAAAGTAGCTTGTTTCTGATGTGGTGAAGAAAGGGATCCAGGGTGAGGCATGCAAAGGTGTGGTAGTCAGAGTGATGAATCAAGATGATCTTAACAGCAACATTTTAAATGGACTTGAGGTGGACAAGCTTGTATTTGTTAAGGCCAGAAGAGATGGCATTTATCGAAACACAAGATGGTTTTAGTTTTAGCTGTGTGGACTGAGAGCCAAGACAATATTAAAGAGGTTGTGTAGGAAGAAGTGGCAAGATTTAGACATGGTCTGGATGTTTGGGTCTAGAGAGAGGGCTGACTCAAAGATAACACTTCGATTATCGATGGAATAACAAGGAAAATGATGATGTTGGCCACAGTGACTGAGCAAGGCGGGATTGATTTGAGGGGAAAGATTAAGAGTTCACTATTGTCCATGAAGACCTTAAGGTGACGGCAGGACATTCATGAGGAGATGTTCAAAAGGCAGGCCAAGATTTTAGTTTGGACAGACGGAAAGAGGTCTGGAGAAGAGAGGCAGATCTGGGAGTAATCAGCATAAAGATGATAGTCAAAGGTGTGTTTTTGAATAAGCTCCCCCAATGATAGGCTGTAAAGGGGAGAAGGAGCTAGGGCCAAGATGAATGCTTGTCGGCCCCCTTAGGAAGGCTGGAGAGGGGATGAGGAGGACCCACCAAATGAAACACTAAAAGAGCAAAAGTCATGTTAGAGAGATATGCAAATGATAATTAGGGACACTGAGGCTAAATGGGCTAGAACGTTGAAATTCAAACCTATATTGTTAGAAGTAATACTAATTGTATGTGTCTTAGATGTTACGCAAAAAGACAGTTCCTGTCTGTCACTATAACTATTGATTCAGAGATCAAAAGGGAATATTAACATTTGGATGAATTGTGGGTAAAATAATGTCATTGTCTATATGTCTCTTTCAAGTTTGTAATAGACTGCCTAATGGATAAATTGTTGTATGTTAATTTGTATAACTAATTACTGGTAATGTTTAGAAAGCAAAAGGTTACATCAAAAGCCTATTGTTTAACCAGGACTGTGTGGTCAAGTGGATGCTAGAACACTGTATAAAAAGATCCTTGGATCCTGTTTCTGTCATCTCCAATCTGCTTAGGCTTCATCAGGGGAAGTTTGAGTCACAAGACTGAGGTCCCAGTTATGCTGATACGCCCTGAATATGAGATAGTCCAATGAACTATTTATGAAAGAACTCTTTGCAACTACAAAGTTCACCATCTCTGCTATGAATCTGAACCTCAATTAATTGAACTCATGTCTATATGTATATTGACCTTTTAACCATTCTCTCTCTCTCTCTTTCGTTTTGTAATAAATTTTAGTTTAGTTAATAAGAATTGGCTGTAGCATGTATTTGGGTAAGATCTGAAACATTCATTAACCTGGGAGGTAATGTGTCCGATCCTTTGGGATTGGTAGATTAAATAAGATTTACAGAAATTTTCATCATATTTAACGTGGGTACCTGGATGAAGGCCTGAGGCTGGATCACTTTAAGGGAACTGTGTTGTTTGGACTTCTGAGTAACCAGTGAGGTAATAAAGAAGCTGTTTTATGCTGGTTTGGTAAATCTAAGTATCGGAATATCCACCAGCTTTATAGGGATTGTCTGCCCCATTCTTTGCAGTTCACCCTAATTGAGTGACCACAGCTGGTCACCACTAGGACCCTGGTCACAAGTGTCTTATGGGGAGAAAGTAATCGTGTGTGGGAAGGAATAAAACAAAAATGAAAATCTATAAAAATGGAGCAGAGGTGCTAACGCAACAGTGCATGGAGTAGGAAGGCCGGGGCACAAACTCTGTGTTAATGGGGAGACATTTTTTGAAAAAGCGGTGGATGGAATATTTAGGACTCAATTCCCTTTTCATTCACACCTGCCTGCGTCACACTGATATAATTCCATTGATCTCCTGATTTACATAGTGCTGAAACAGAGCACACTAGAAATCTGAACAACCATGTGACTTCTCCTTTCCTCCCCCATCCCCATTTCCCTCCCTTTGTTTGCTGCCAGCCACTGCTGCATCATGACTATCTAACTTGTAAGGTCTTCTGAGGGGCCTAGCGCAATGGGATCGCGGATCTTGAGTCACGCCCCTGGATGCTACTCCGCTCTTACTATGAGCAATAACACTTCAAAGGACACCAATCAAATCAAAACAACCCAACAAAGGTGTGGAAAAAAAATGTCATCACCTCAGACCAATGATAAGCTTGAATGGATGCGCTGCTGGAAGGTGCTCGGATATTACACTGATGAGCAAGGCAAAAAAACAATGAGAAAGAAATTCCCCACAAAGGAAGTGTTTCCGTCCTCAAAGGAAGTTTAGTGCTAGGCAGTTTAAGTGGGTAATTGTCATTTATTCTATCTTTCTACCTACCTACCTAAAGTATTTCTAAAATACCCATATTATCACTGTGGAATCTAAAAGCTGAAGAAAATTACAAAGCAGAAAAATCCAGAACAGAAGTTCTTTTCTCTCCCCTTTCCCCTGTGTTATAGGGGTGTGTGAAGTTAGATAACAAAGGAATTATTTTTCACCGGCATTACTGTTGGCCCTGTGCCATTATTTATATGCAACACCTGCCAGGAGTACCATCACTTAAATATGATCCATTTGCTCTCAGGTACTCACTATAAAAATGATTTTAGAGGTCAGAATCTAATCCAGGGAAAAACAGCCATTTCTCCACCATCCACCAAAATCAAGAGTGAAAAGGATGTGGATTACTGAGATAGGTGGATTACTTTTGACTGAGTCAAAAGACAAATGATTCTAATCTATTTGCATGCACATTTCATTCACTGAAAGGCACAGTGCAAAGGCTCTGGACAAACTGAGTGGCAGACTGGACATCACACTGTACATAAAATCCTGAGAGTGCTTGGGTGAAGTTGGGGATGGATCATACATCCACAGGGAGGTGGTTTTCCTGCTGACTAGAATAAAATGGTGTCTGTCTTGCTGGGATGTTTCATTCTGAAGTTGCTAGGTGCTGATGTGATCTGATAACACACAGACACTATCTGTTATCTATCTCAGTAGCAGAAGTAACATTGTTATGAGGGGAGGAGAAACCTGTGTTTAAAGATGGGGGGGCAGATCCTTACTGGCGTAAATCAGCATAACTCGACTGATATCAATGGAGCTATGCCTGTTTATGCCTGCTGAGAAGCTGGCCCAGAATGTGAACCAGTAAAAGAGACTCGTTTTAACTGATATTTTCTTCTTATGTTTCTAAAGGTCTCAATCCCAAGTTCACTGACACTGGTGTAAAACAGGAATAAGTCCACGGAATCAATGGAAATATACCAGTGTGAAATCACAATCAGGCCCCATGTTAGTAATGAGCCTTCTGGGAGAGGGAGATGGCGGCAGCTTTTCTGTAGGTGTCTTCTTCAAGCAGAACTATTCATTCACTCAATGGTTTCTGATAGCTTGATGGTAGATACCTGTCCTCTGGCCACACTGGTTTCCCTGCCTCTTCTCAATTCCCTTAGGAAGAAACAACTGCAAAGTACCTATTGTTTCTTTGCATAAAGGTATGTAAACTTGAGCTACTTCTCATTACTGCAGCTGTTAAACACTAAATGACTGATCTTTTTAGGTTTCAGAGTAGCAGCCGTGTTAGTCTGTATCCGCAAAAAGAAGAACAGGAGTACTTGTGGCACCTTAGAGACTAACAAATTTATTAGAGCATAAGCTTTCGTGGACTACAGCCCACTTCTTCGGATGATCTTTTTAGGTTCTCCAAGAAGGGAAGAATAATTTAGAAAATAACAAGTTGCTGTATATGAGA